ATGCAATAGGTTGCACTAACAACAATTATGCATCACGAGAAAAGTGCAAAAAATGCGGGCAACCAAAGGAAGTAGCAGCATTATCAGCACTTGCTATCCCTGGAGCTTCTCTTCAGGCTCATCTCAATTACTTCACGCGTGTGCCTGAGCCAATCGGTCAACCTGGTTCTTTACTCGCATTCTCTAACCCTGCAAATCAAGCGCCGGTTCTTAAAGAATGGAGGAGCGGCGATTGGATTTGCAGATGTGGGTTTCATAATTATTCCTCTCGTGTACAGGTGAGGAATGGGATTCAGGGTTTAGGGAACGAACTTGTATATTACGTCTAGTTGTTTACTCCTTTTCTTTTTAACTTTGTATGTTTCTGCAGTGCAAAAAGTGCAATGAAGCAGCTCCGTTAGGTATGGTTTTTGTCGAATTTAAACTCTTATCGTTGGCGTGCAATTGTATTTAAGCATTTACAGTCTTTGAGATTCCTTGAAAACGAGTTTTAATTATGGGAAAGTTTTTTTGGTTGCAGCCCTTGGAACAAAGAGATTAGCATCGGAAGTTTTGGCTCAGGAATGGGATAGCAAAAGATTGAATCAAGGACATGTAAGGATTAGTTAGAGCGCATAAGATTGATTTGTCTCATTCAAGAAATATTCTAGCTTCATAATCTTAGCTCTGATTCTACTGAATCTTTGTACAGACAAGCATGCAACCACATTCAGCGATATATGCATCTTTTCCTGGTGTGAGCCCAGGCAGGATTTCAAATTGGCAACTTCCTCTCCCGTTTCTACAGCAACATTCAACACCTGCTTTACTTGGAAAGGGGTACGGTATTGGTCTGCTCGTCTCAATTGTTTTCTTGTTTCTTAAACGATAGAACTTGGCTCGAGAGATATTAAAGAACTTTTGCAAACTCCCCAATTCTTTGATTTTACCTGGTTGTAGAGCAAAACAATGGCGTGATGGAGACTGGATGTGCACAAATTGCAAGAATCACAACTACGCATCTCGGTCAGAGTGCAATAGGTAAGTTTAAATGACGAAACCTCGTACAATTACCTTTCCTTTCTTTGCATTGAGCTAAAGTAAACAAAAGTCTAAGACTATATTATTCCTTCTACATTTCAGGTGCAAGACTAAACGAGATGTCCATGAGCAGGACATAACTCCAATACAATCTTGAAGAGTATATAAGTTACAATATCTCTTGATCATTTGAACGAATCTGTTTTGCTTATTTTCCGATTTGGCTACACATTACTCGATACTAACTTTCATATAAGCCTCAAAATGTTTAAGAACAGAGAATGCAGCAGACAATCTAAAAGCTTTTTAACCCTTTAAGATGTTTTTAGGATCAAGAGGCGGCGTATCGAGCTGATAAAGATTCAAAGCCGGTCCAACAAACCGGAAAAGAATCCAACCTCCGATCACAATGTAGATCGAAGCGTACGCCAATTTGTTCAACCAAAACAACAAACCTTTCTCACCAACATAAAGCTCCATTGCTTTCTCATTCAATGTCATCTCTTCCCATGGCTTTTGAACCTCTGTTTTTTTACCCTTTTGCCCTCCTCCTTCTTCTCCTAAACCTTCTTCCCTCATTCTTCTTCTCGATCCTCTTTTGAATCTTATCTCCATCCCATCCAACGGCTGAGAAAGCTTCTCGCCATCGCCGCCATTGTTGTTGCCACTGTTTGAGCAGTTAATCGAATGATTTTTTCTGTTTTTACGAAGAAACACGAACTGGGTTTGTGTGATTGTACAGTAAGATTGTTTCTTTAGATTGATAATGGTTGGTTTAGCTGAATTCGGAGCTAAAAAGTGAAGAACTTTCATTTTTTATGTTACGTTTTGGAGCTATGGATGAAGAAAGGAGCGATTTTGCAAAGATAAGCTTTTTTATCATCATCAATCAACCCATGAGCTTCTTGACTTGGACCCAATTATTTATCGCCACGTGGCTACTCGGAACTAATGGGCTTTTAAGAAATTATTAAACGGCCCATAAGTTATATTCGTCGGCTGGTAAACTACTGAGATTACCCTTATACGGTTTCTTAAATTACAAGTGTGCCTTAAAGCTAATATCACAGAATCACTTTCACTGACAAAAAGACCAAAGATTTCAAATCGTAGACTTGGAATCTGTTCGTACATACATACATGAACAAGACGATCTGATATTGAGATCGGAATCGAGAGAATCAATGGAAGAAGATCCTTTTCTCCGTCAGTTTCAGCCGTCGGATTTCAAAATCGCTTCGGAATTTTTCAGGAATTGGCTTCCTTTCTTATCTAGAGATCTATGCAAGGATTGTGTCCACGTTCTCTCCGAACGTATCGATTCTCTTGACCCAGGTAAGGTTTTCGATTCTGTATTGAAAACGGAGGTTTCTCTATTCCCACACTTAATTGGTATTTGAATTATGCTCTGGGGAATCTAATTGAACATTAGGGTTTGATCATTTGGAGGAGGCGATAGAGTAGCGTTGTTTGTTGTTTGGAATTCTACTGTTTACTATACAAATTATGTTTCTAGGGTTTGATTTGTTAGTTTCTTATTTGAGAAATCGTATTTCTTCGTGTAGAACATTGTAGTACTAGTAACACTGAGAAAGTTAATGGAGAGGGTAAAGCTGGTTCTTGTTCAATGGTGGGAAATGTTGAATCAGAAGGAATAAGTAACAATGTTGATGGTGATTATGATGAGAAGTCTACTACTAGAGATTTGGAAAACGGCGAAGACTGTGATAATCATTCACTAGGTAGTTGGAAAGAGAGTGAAATTGCATTTGGATCTTTTTCTGAAGCTTCTAGTAGTGTGTTGCCTTCTCGAGTAGCTGCTGCTGAAACGGCAAGCCCTCGAATGTCTTGGGCTGATATGTCACAA